AAAAAAAAAAAAAAAAAAAGAGCAAAGAATTCTTGCAACTATGGCCAGACTGAAGGTGTTGACATTCAACTAAGGTGGGGAGCGCAAGTGTTGCTCAATGCTAGATGTGCTTAGCTTGCACAGAGCCCAAGATTCTCCCCAACGAGAGAAGAGAAAAACTATGTAGAGTTGGCTACCAAAAGTTGGTGGCTGCTTTTATCAGAAAACTCCTAGCAAACTGCTCTGCTGCTCCCGCTAGCTCTGCCAGAGGTGGTGAAATGGGCTCCTGAGGCTTGCTACTTTAGAGGTAAGAACAAAACCTGCAGGTAGTAGATATGTTGAAATGATTCTGCTTGAAGTGATTCTCTTTCATTTAGAATCTCTTTTTTTTTTTGGTCTAATTACTCTTGGCTGTCAATTAGTATTTAAAAACAAGGAACTAAAAAGCAGGTTTTGAGTGGATAAGTTCATCAACATGTAGTCTTCACTGTAGTAAGTGGCCTGACCTGACCCTCCCCCTTTTTTTTACAAGGCCCAAATGTCAGTTGAAATTTGGAATTTTCTCTAGAACCATAGTTCCTCAGAATCTTCCGAGCTGAACTCTGTATGTATGTAGGGGGTGTAGTGGAAAGGTTACACGCCTAGATACTGGTTTAACGAGAACGAGGGATGAGGGGTGTCCTTCCTGCACTAAATATATAGACTCTCACATAATTTCCTTTCCAGATCCTGTACACCCCAACATTCTTCTGTGCCTGTTTTCTATAAGTTGGCCCTTTCCTAGGGCAATTTATCCAGAAAATAAACCTTGCATCCTCCATGGGGTGGAGAATTATCTGGCTTCATAGGGTAGGTAGGATGGGAATGCTGAACACACAACTCTTGAGGCCATTTTAATAAATCTCATGGGTCTAGCCTCACACCTTCACCTTTCCTGGAGTCTTCCTCAAAAATGTGAGTTGTCTCTCACAGGTTCTATACCGAGTGGACTTGTCTGTCTGGTGTAACCCCTTGTAGACATTTAGCACATAACTTTCTGAATGTCTTTATCATTTCAGTCAACTTTGTGTGACTGAAAATGGGTTGATATTTTTCACTCACTGTTATATTATTGCCTATTGTCTTTGTCTTTGGGTTTAGCATCTTTAAAAATCCCTCTTGATTATTTTAGCAAGAGATATGTGGGAATAATCTGCCATTTTAAACTAGAAAGTTTTAAGATATTTGAATTGTTTCTGTCATATTTGAGGGATTTTTTTCTGTGCTTTAAAAAAATACAGAAGGACAAGTGGGGGAAACATATTTTAATGCTATTGGGAAGATTTACCAAGTTACCTAGATGAACATTTAATGTTTAAATAACCATGGTTAGGGGCTGGGGATTTAGCTCAGTGGCAAAGCGCCTGCCTGGCAAGCACAAGGTCGTGAGTTCGGTTCCCAGTACCAGAGAAAAACCAAAAAAATAAATAAATAAATAAATGACCATGGTTAAATGTCCATTAATTGTATCTGGAGCATTATTTTTTAAAACACATACCAGATCTACAAAGAAGTGCAAGACAATAATGTATAGCTTTTTTATTATATTTGTTTAGGTACTTTTGAGGAAAAAAAAATTATTGATTATTTTGGGAATTAGACTGGGGATCATCTTTAGAATTAGACCTAGCAGCCAAATTAAAAATTTTATGTTGTGTAAAAGTAAGTAAAAACACTTACACTTTAAAGGTTAAAACAGGTCATCTCATGTTTGGCTGAACAGGTATTTAAACTATGAGAAATATGCATAATATTAAAGTAGTTATTGAGGACTAACTACATTCAAGGCCTTATATCACTATACTGAATACTAACTAGTAGCAGAAATTATTTAAATATATTTTTCTGTAAATGATATATTATTAAATAAAAATCAGGCTGGGGATCTAGCTCAGTGGCACAGTGCTTGCCTGGCAGGCACAGGGTCCTGAGTTCAATTCCTGGTACCAAAAATAAATAAATAAATAAAAATCATCTAGTATAAATTTAAAATCTTCTTTTAAAGTTTCCTGAAGAATGAAAGTCTAGAAATAAACTGAATGCCAAATGAAATAAACAAACATATATTTATCCAGTGATTTAGAAACAGTTCAGGCCATTGGGAGTATGCCTTAAAACAAAAGGAGTCCATTAAAATATCTGTAACAAATATAAGAAAGTCCAAGAAATTCAGAGTCACTGACATGTCAGATATTCTGCATGACCACTTCATTATGGAGACAGATTAAACATAAAATTAAATGTCAGTTACTGTAAAGATATAAATTTCAGTGTGCTTAAAAATATTTTACACCTTTTAACTTCCATGTAAATTAATGGACCAAGTGCTATATTGATATGTTATCTGCTTCAATCAATTATATTAGAACCCATCTCTGCACTGGATTCCTTTAGGCTATAGTTCATTCACACAGCCAGCCAGCCTCTAATTCCAGATCAATATTTGACTCTGTTTACTTTTCATTTTTGTCTTAAAATAGTAACAATAACTGAATTTGTGCTATGAACTTAGCTGTTCATCTGTCAAGGAGAAAAGACAACTCTGACTTTCCCTGTTTGGTTCTTGTGCAAGGAAAAACTATGAAGGTATTATTCACATCTTAAACAAGGGGAAAACCAGGATTTTCAAAAATAAATATGCTACATTAACCATTAAATGGTAGTCAAGATACAAGCTTCAGCAGAAAAAGAAATGGAAGCAGAGATGTTAGGGAAACTTCAAAATTTTTCTGCAAGGGCTGAGTTGTGTTATGAACCCTGCAGTAGAGTTACTCTACTGAACATTCTTTCTATGACTTTGTGTGCAACTGAGATGAGCTTTTTTCGTGAATAACAACCAAGAACTTCAGAACAGTACTGTCTCAGAACATTGTCTCATAAGGTAGAATACATTTCATCTGAAGGTTTACAGAATGAGGTCGTCTGAATGGACATCTGGAGACTTGTGGACCCAGCGTGAGGCACCTATAGCATTACGTATGTTCTCATGCCAGCTGATTTGGGTGAGAGGAAGTCAGGCTTCCCAGTGTTCTCCTTCACAACAGACCGACCACTCAGAGCACTTCATGAGAACCAGTCTATTGCAGCACCCCTAGAGAATGTCCTAATCAGTTCCCTCCCTGCTTTGGATAATCTTTTTCCTGCAGGGAACACTCCTTCCTTCTTATGTTCCAGAAAAACAAAGCCTTAGTGAGAGATCAAGTAGGAAGCTACTGTCATTTGCTAAGCAAGAAGTAAAATGGCTTGAACTAAAACAGTGGCAGTGGGATGAACTATGTCTCTTAAAAGTAGAGTCCATAGTGACGGAAAAAGAAGTCAAAGCTAAGATTTATACTCTGGAGCCTGAAGAAGGAGATGACTACAAGTTCAAGGCCAAACTGAACTAAATAGTGAGACTGTGTCTCAAAAAACAAAACAAAAAGTTATGTTTCAAATATGCTTTTACATACCTGGGCTATGTAAAAGCTTTTATCTTCACTGACACATGGGAGGAAGAGTAAGTTTTTAAGGAAGGGAAAATGCATTTCATTTTAAATATGAAACACTTCAATGCCTAAAGGGTAACTTTAAGTGTATGTTTTCCAGGACACAGCTGAACACACTAAATCTGGAGCTCAGATGAGATCAGGCTTAGAAATGTGGATGTGAGAATCAGCATAAATAACTGAACCAAAAGTAATGAGATGAGTAGGCTATCCAATATATTTCCTATTATTGATGGAACTGAGCCATCACCAATAGCAATAAATTATTTGACAAATGATTCACTGTAAAGCCATTATGGTGGCAACTTTTCCTGTGACCTTTTCTGTAAATGTAGCAAAATACCAAGATGTACTGAAAAACAAAACTTGTCACCCACCACCCTAATTATGTTTTCTAAAAATTAATTATTTTCAAAACACAAAAAAAACTCCAGAGCCTAGGTATTGAGAGAAACCTTGCTTAAAATTCCTCTACTGAAGTCTTAAAATTGTGAAAATATTTTGGTCACAGATACATGATCAGACATGAAAAACATTACCCTTGTGAAGTCTCCAAGTACTGATACAATTGTATGATTTTTAAAAACATTTTACTGTTGCCTGTCAGATACAAAATTAAAATGAGCTTTATGTTTACTTCATGGGGGTATTTTCAAACCATTTTTTAACATGCCACTTTGTCAGAAATGAATTGCAGCAGCTCTGTCAGCAAGTTTTTCAAAACTAGCTTTCAAATATGGGGCATTATGTTTGTTTGCTTGTTTTTAATGAACCAGTACTGATACTTTATTAACTAAGGTCACCAGGACTTACTCTAGGTGTTGCCCATTCAGTGGGTTTTAATGTAGGATGACATGTATCCACCATCACTATATAATCCAGAATAGTTTTCCTTCCCTAAACACTCCCATGTACCACCTACTCATCCCCCTCCCCTCCCAAATCCCTGGTAACCAATGCTCCTTTTTCAGTCTCCATAGTTCATCTTCAGAATGTCATCTAAGTATAATCACAGTTTTAGCATTTTCAGATTTTCTTTCACCTTGCAATATTCTTTCAAGTTTCCTCCATGCTTTCTCAAGGCTTGACACAGTTCTTTATTTTTTTATCACTGAGTACTATCCCACTGTATGTATAAATTGCAGTTGGGTTATTTTTTATGTAATGAAGGACATCATCATTGCTTCCAGGTTTGGGCAATTATGATTAAGGCTGACATAAACATTTGTGTGTAGATTTTTCTGGTGCCAGTTACCATATAGTTTGGTTCTCCTTTGTAACTTCTATATCTCAACTGAGACTTTATATTTTTTTATTAGTTTCAAGTGGGCTCATAATTGCTTGTTGAGCATTTACTTGGGTGCTTTAAAACCCTTGACAGAAGGCTGGGCATGGTGGCACACACCTGTAATCCCAGCACTCGGGAAGCTGAGGCAGGAGGATTGTTGTGAGTTCGAGGCCAGCCTGTGCTACAAAGTGAGCTCAAGGTCAACCTGAACTGCATAGCAAGACCCTGTCTCAAAAAGACAAATAAATAAATAAATAAATAAAAATAAAATCCTTGACAGAATATTACAATATGTTGCATTTCAATTTTTGCTTCATCTGATTTTTCTCAGATATTCCTGATTCATGTGAGGATAAGTGAATTTCTTTTACTGGGGTGTGGTATTATAACACTCTGGATTCGAGGTTCGGGTAGGTCTCCTATAACATTGCTGCTGCTAGAAAAGGTTGACACTGTCTCATTGCTGCTACATGGGTTGGAACTCCAGTTTCTCCACCCAGCCTTCACTGACACCTATAGTTTCAGTGTAGAGATAAATTTATTTTGGTTTTTTACTTCTTGTTCTAGCTTGCGAGTATTCTGGGGTTTTTTCAGCCTCAGAAACTGGAGCCCCTAGACCAGAATGATGTCCTCTGGTGGTGACCTGGAGCCCCGGGGCCCTCCCCCATTCCCGGTGCTCATCCCTGCAACTTGGCCCGACTGCCGGCCCGAGCCACTGCACAGTCCATCCAGGTCCCGCCAGGTCTCCATCCTCCCCCCTTGCCCTGCCCTGCCCGCCCCTAAATCTGCCTGATGCCGTTGGGCCGCCTTCATGCTGCCTCCGTACCTGCGGGGGGCTCTTGGGGCATTACCTTTGAATAGAAAGTTTAATAAAATCTGAAACATCAAACCATGGTATTGTCTTCCTATATGGACGATTTTTATGAATTGACAGGTAAACAATGGTAAAACAGCTGTCAGAATGTAAATAACTAAAGGAATTAAACTGAAAATAATTGGAAATATCTTAACCCAAATCAATGGAATGTTTAATTGGACTGTATCTGATAGCCATTCCTTTGTCTCCAAAAGTTTATAGAGAAAAGCTTATTCCTTTTTTCAGAAAGGCACAAACAGACCTCCACCTACAAAAATTAAGGTAGTTTAGGAAAGCTCTAACGTTACCTAGTGTTCCTCCAAATGGAACAGGTAGACTGGAACCACATAGAATACATAGATGACATTTCCCAATTTCTTTGCCCCGCCACTGTTCCTTTTTCTGAAAACCCAACAGAACTCCTTCCCCACCTGCTAACTAGAATCGCATTTTCCAGTCACTAAACTCTACTTAGAATCCCCCCTTAACTCCCAGTACCTGTTAAAGAATAAGATACATTTGAAAAAAAAAGACATTAAAAGGTCAATAGTTGCTTTTATTGATTGTTAGAAATAACTACATGATTTGTATCTCTACATATACAATATTGCTTTGAGTAGCTAAGAAAATAGCTATCATATGAGAAAACATAAAAACTAACTTAACTAAGTCCAGATAACTTATTCTCACTGTCCAGTGGTAAAACAGAGCAACAATAGCAGCCTCCAGAAAAAAAATACCAAAGTCCTCCAGTATAGCTGTAAGTCTGAACTGTTTGTTTCAATGTAACAACCTTTCTGCTACATAATCCCATTTCCTAAAGAATAAACACAAAGAAAATACATAGCAAGACATCCTAAAAAAAGAACTAAAATACTTCAACTTCTAGAATTAGAGGGAAAAAAAAAAATTAGTTCTTGATTTCTAGTCTAAGTAACTTCTAGGATTAGAAGAAAAAAAATACTAATTCTTGATATCTAGTCTAAGTAATATAGCCAAGATTTTTCTAATGCTGACCAGCCTGCCAACTGAAAGTATCAGTGTGCTCACTTCTCTAGAAGTGATTCTAGCTCTTCTTGCAAAGAGCTGAGTTGCTCCTTTTCTCGGTCTTCCTTTTGTTTGAGCTCATCCAGCACAGCTTGAAATCTATTCTTGAGAGCCAGGTTCTCCACTTTCATGATGAGATCCTCCTGTCGCTTTGCCCGGTCCTGGGTCTCTTGGAGCTTGCCTTTCATGTTATCAATCTGTTTCTGAATTCCCATAACCAGTTGGTTGGTTCCCTCATTTCCTTGGTGCTGTGCATCTGATGCACTCAGCTTGTCCTGCAGCTGTCTCTCCAGATCTTCCTCAGTATCAATAATGTTTATATCTTCTTCATCTTGATGCTGTGTCTCATCTTCATCTTCACTGCTGCTGCTGAGATCATTGAATATCTCTCGAAGCTCATCATGTTCTAATGAGTCATGACCCTGTCTATGGCCAGACATCCCTGGAGACGAGATATCAAGGCCTTGATTTTCTGTCTCTTTTGTTTCATCTTCAGCAATTATTTCCCAGCGAGTACTGACGGCTTCAGCATCTGTACTCAGCAAGCGCTTAACTTCTTTTTCCACATCTGGAGACTCAATATACTTCTTCTTTGCTGTCTTCCGGAACCTTCTCTTTCTCACATTTTTTAAAGGCAGAGTAATTCCATGGTTCCAGACAAACTTTTTCTCTTTGTCTTTATCTTTTTTCTTGCTTGCTTTCGGATCAGCGGCAGCAGCGGCGGCAGCAGCAGCTGGCTCCTCCACTGGAGGATAGAGGTCACCATCAACAGTGGATACAAGCATCTGACAAATATCAGCTGTCTTGTAAAAGGTCTTCTTATCAATGGTCTTCAGGCTTTCCATGACACACGGCAGATCTACCAATTTTGCAGCCAATGGGACCCGGTCCACTCTGACAATTCCATGACGCCCATCAGGGTGTAACTCAATTGTTAGTCTATCCTTCAGGTTGACATGGCCAGACTGTACTGCTCTCCTCACAGTAGCAGCATATTCTGGGGGAAGGCGTAGGATAAACTGGCTCTCTAGTTCATGAGGAGCATCATCTTTGCTCTTACTCATCTTTACTTGTTGGTGGTTCACTTCTCCAATAAGCACTTGTCTCACTAAAAAACTCCAGCTACTACAACAGCTATAAAGTCCAGTGTGTTATAAATTCAAATATCTAGTTACAAAGAGTTCTAAGCAAAATACCAGCCCGCTAAGCGCTTATCCTATCTTAACATTAATCAGGTACCAAGTCCTTCCCGTAAATATTGTATGCTGCGAGGAAACAGCAGTCGTTGTTAACACACTGGCTTATTCAAAGTTCATCAGCCTATTCGGTGCAACGCCAACTTCCAGCCTCTAGGTGCCGCTGCCGGACAACGCAGATTGAACAAGCCAGCAAGTGGGAGAGCAAATGGCGGCTCCTGCGGAGTGATTTTCAGAAGAAGTTAGGTTCAACAGGAAAAGCAAGATCCAGCAAACAATCCCAATCTGCAAACTCTCCCAAACACAGACAGGAAAAGAGCAGGGCGCGGTGCGCCCTCGATGCTTTGGATACTTACAATCCAGTGACGATTATAAATTCAGCCTCTCAACGCCGGAGCGAAGCAGAAAAGCAAGCCGATCGGAGGAAAGCGGGCGGCAGCAGCGGAGCGGCAGGGAGCCGCGGAGCTGCCCGCAGCCGCAAAGCGATCCGGCGCAGCAAAGCGAACGAGAACCGAGCGTCTGTCTTTCGATTTCGTTGTTCGTCCTGCTGCTTGCAGAGTGATCCGTTACTGATTACAGAAGGAGGGACCCGGGACCGGCAGAGCGGAATCCTGCCGAGACCCGATGCACAAAGCACCAGCGTGCACAGCAGCTCTGGCCGCAGCGGTCTGGAGACACAGGCACCCTGCAATAAAAAGCAATCGTCAGGGGGCGGGGCGGGCCGGGGCGGGCGGGGGCGGGAGGGACAGGGCGGGGCGGGAGGGCCAGGGCGGAGAGGGGCGGGAACCCGGCCGTGAGTGACAGCGCGGCCCAGGCGGAAGTACTTGCTATAACAGCGCGCCGTGGAGCAATTACGCAATTACGCTGCGCGGTCCTGTCCCCTATTTTCGCGAATACTCTCCTTTAGTGCAGGAAAATTACAATGTTTCCAGAGCCTTTAGTTTTAAAAGAGATGAAAGTTTCAAGAAAGTTGTAGCGGGCCGGGCGTGATGACGCACGCCTGTAACCCCAGCACTCGGAAGGTTGAAGCTGGAGGATCGCTACGGGCGATCAAGCTCAGCCTGTACTGCTGGCGAAACTCTGTCGCAAAAAGTCAGGAAAAAAAAAAAAATGTAGGTTTCGCCCGTAGCCAGGATTCTACAGAGTTGCCACGGGGGCCAGTAGTTCCTAGGCTTGTGGGTAATTAGATAAGGGCGTCCTCGCAAAGTGTTTTTGCCTCTGGAAACATTTTGGATGTTCCATAGGGTATATCTAATCTGGTGCTGCTGCAAGATTTTGTAACTAATTGCAGATTGGATTTTAAAGTATCTGAACATGTTGCTTCCTATGTTGCGTTAATTGGGGTAATGTCCAAAGGGGAACCAAACTTCTAGAATTTTTTTTTTTTTTGGACCAGAAGTGATTCTTATTAATGTGCTTGACTTAGATACAAATGTAAAGAGAGAAACAAATGTTCCGGCCGCACAGGTTTATTGATACAAATGTCAGATAAACACATGTTTTAAAACAGTATACAATTGAAGTATTCTGTCCTTCTTACGTGCCAGTAACTTATAAATAACTTCGAAATTTTTTCACGTCACCTTTTACTATGTTGCTGTTTTCTCCTATGATTCATCTAAAATTTGCAGGATGACCTATTTCCTGTTTTTCAGAGATAAACTTTTCAAATGTCCCTTCATTATACTTTATTTTACTTACTCTCTGGAAATGATAGTTTGCTAACCTCTACACTGTGCTTTACAAATTTAAAACATGAGACCACGTTTACACATAAAAATGATCCAAATATTACTTTGAATGTGCCTTCCTTATGATTTTTATGATGTTCAAATATTTTTATCACAAGGTAGTGTGAAATAAATTCTGTGCAATCTTGACTGGCCAATTTGATGATATATTTTAGTTAGCAAACCTTTAAGTGGAATGTTGTCAGAGATAACTAAAAGGATTAACGAGTGCCTACCTCCTTCAATCCTCAAATGTGTTTGTAAACAATTGTGGGATTGACCCTAACACTGAGGGCTCTGCCACATTACTATTATCTTAATATCTATTGATAAATTGCCTTTTCCAAATCTGTTACACATTCAGAAAAACTCTGAATTGGTGAAAGAATTACACTTCAGTGGTTGGTCTATGAAGTATCTGTAATATTGATGAAGCAAAGATTTGGGGAGAACAATAAAAAATTTCCCAGTGTGGTAACAGATCTTCCAAAGATGTTCTTTGCCTTATTAAGTAGAGGCAATCAGGCTACTGCTCATCCTGTATATATGAAAGTTCTCTTTAGCCAAATTTCAAGTTCCATCAAGGCCTGCTGAGGTTTTGAGGCCTAAAAACATTGCTGATGATGAGGGAATTCCTGCTTATATTTTCAAGGAGGAGTATTACAGAAGTGAGGTATTAGCAAGTGTGACCAAAACAGCAAGTTTATATAAACTGCTATATCATCGTACTTTTTTTTTTACTTATTTTTCTTTTGAGACTGGGTCTCCCTGTACAGTTCAGGCTGGCCTTGAGCTCACTTTGTAGCCCAAGTTGGTCTTGAACTCACAACAATCCTCCTGTCTCAGCCTCCTGAGTGCTGGGATTACAGGCGTGCACCACCACACCCAGCTCTTATCATACTTTTTAAAAATTGAGAGACAGTTTAAAAATATGTACCAGTTTCTGTATCAAATATGATGCTTTGTACAGAAAAGAAATCAAACCTTAATTTAAACTAGTTTAAACAATTAGAAAATAAATTGAATCAAAAACCGGGTAGTGAGCTGAGTGTGGTGACACACAGCTATAATCCCAGCATTTGGGAGACTGAGACAGGAGAATCACTGCGATCTAGACCATATAGTGTGTTCAAAACCACCCTGAACTACACAATGAGACCTTGTCTCAAAAAAAAGTAAAAACAAAACACATAATTTAAACCAGGCTTGGTGGTGCATGCCTGTAATCCCAGCACCCAGGAGGCTGAGGCAGGAGAATCACTGTGATCTAGACCATATAGTGTGTTCAAAACCACCCTGAACTACACAATGAGACCTTGTCTCAAAAAAAAAAGTAAAAACAAAACACATAATTTAAACTGGGCTTGGTGATGCATGCCTGTAATCCCAGCACTCAGGAGGCTGAGGCAGAAGGATTGTTGTGAGTTCAAGACCAGGCTGGGCTACAAAGTGAGCTCAAAACCAGCCTGACCTGCATAGCAAGACCCTGTCTCAAAAAGAGACAAAAAAAAAGCAACCAAAAAAAGCAGGTAATTTAGAAAAGCTCTGTCCAATAAAAATATTATGTGTAACACCTGTTTGAGTGATAGATGTAATTTTAAATTACCTAGTAACCACATTAAAATAAAAAGATAAGTAAAATTCATTCCAACAACTTTAATGCAATATATCTAAAATATAAATAATAATCAATGTAAAAATTGGTGATATACATTTTATTTTTATTTTGAACTAAATCTTCAAAATCTACTGTATATTTTACATCCATAGAACATATTGATTTGAATTATCCACATCCAAGTGTTCAATGGCCACATTTGCCTAGTAGTTATTATATTAAACAGTGTAGGCCTCAGAATGTAATTGCCTCTGGACATGACACAATCATAACCTACCACAAATTATTTTTCTCTTCTAAATTTGAAGAGCGAGCATTTATTTATACTTTTTCTTTTTTTCTTTTAGCTCTTCCTTCCTAGCCAGGCGTGGTGGCGCACACCTGTAATCCCAGGACAGGGGAGGCTGAGGCAGGAGGATCATTGTGAGTTTGAGACCCCCCTGGGCTACAAAGTGAGCTCAAGGCCAGCCTGAACTGCATAGCAAGACCCTGTCTCAAAAAGACAAAAAAAAAAAAAAAACACAAAAAAAAAAAAAAAAAAAAAAAAAAAAACAGCTCTGCCTTTTTTCCTTGGAAACTTCCAAAGCCTGATGGCACAAAATAGCTGTCAGCAGTCACTGGGCAACTTTCTTACTTGTCCATGGAAAGTTAAGAGAGTGGCTCCCCCATAGCCAAAGTCTGTCTTTTGATCCAATTGGACTAACTTGGCCATGTACCTATCCCTGGCTCGATAATACTCACTGACAAAATACCTTAAGCTTGTATTTCTCAAAATGGTTAGGAAGACATAACATTTACTAGTGTCTGGAAACATTTCTGGTTGTTACAAATGTGGGAATGGGCTGTTCTGATGTACAGGTGGAAGAAGCCAGGCATGCTGCTACACATCCTACAGGGCACCAGACAGCCCCCCACAAGGAATTATCTGGCTCAAAAGATTGAGAAAACTGCCCTAAGGTTATTATTTTAAACCTGTTCTTTTTTAAAATTTCATTTACACATCTTTGCAGTTCACGTAGTTTACAAGGATTTTGGGGGAATGGTTACATGTACATATTACAGCATATTTCTTTTTTATTTTAAATCCTTTCCCATTCCCTCCCCTCTCCATCCTTCTCCATTTCTCCTATCTCATTTTTCATTCTTGTTGATATTATTTGTCTTAGCTCATATGATGGCATACAATGTTTACATTAATTGGGATTACTGGGTTCCTGTCCATGGCATATCTTTATCCTTCATAATTCCCCTTTCCCTCCTCCTTACCCCTTACTCTTATTCTTTTGGACCACTTCTTCGTTCCAAGAGACCCATCTTCTTGTTCCTTCCTATCTATTCTTTATCATTTTCTTTGTTTAGACTTTGCCTCACTCAAGTGAGAAATACCATAGGGTATTTAAGGCTGTGTGTCTGGTTTATTTCACTCAGCAATGTATTTTCCCGGTGCACACATTTTCCTACAAATGTCTCAAATTTGTTATTCTTTGTAGCTGAGTAGTATTCCTATATATATATATATATATATATATATATATATATATATATGCCACATTTTCTTTATCCTGTCATCTGTTGATGAGAACACAGGCTGCTCCCAGGATTTAGCTATTATGAATTGTGCTGCTGTAAAATTGATATGCACATATCACTGTGATATGATGCCTTAAACTCTTTGGAGAAGATACCTAGAAAGGGGATACCTGGATCATATGGAATTTCCAATTTCAGTTCTTTGAGAACCCTCTATAGTTAATGGTTGAAGTAGTTTGCATTCACCCAACAATAAAAGAGGGTTCCTTTTTCACCACAGCTAAACCAGCATTTGTTATTGGTTTATTTCTTAATGATTGCCAGTCTTTCTGGAGTGAGATGGAATATTAGCGATATTTTAATTTGCATTCCTCTAATGGGCAAACATTTTGAATATTTTTTCATATATTTGCTGACCATTTGTATTTCTTCCTCTGTGAAGTGGATGTTCATTTCTCCTGCCCATTTCTTCACTGTGTCTTTAATTTTATGTTTTAATTTGTTTTAGTTATTTGTATACTCTAGATAGTCCTCTGTCTGAGTAGTAGCTGGCAAAATTCTTTTCCTATTCTGTAGGTTGTCTCTTTGCTCTACTGATTGATTCTTTTGCTGTACAGAGGCTTTTCAGTTTGATATAATCCCATACGTTGATTTTTGCTGCTAGTTTTTGTGCAACTGAGGTTCTTTTTAGAGAATCCTTTCCTACACCTATGTCTTCAAGTGTTTTGCCTATTTTACCTTCTAGTAGGTTTAATGGTTCTGTTTTAATGTTCACATCCTTGATCTATTTTTATTCTAATTTAGTATTTGGTGAGCAATAGGGTCCAGTT